CCGCCGCGGGCGTCGGCAAGGCGGCAAGCCCAGCAGGCCGCGCCGCAACCGCCCCACCGCCGCCGCGCGCTCGCCAGCCTCCGGGGGGGGGGGCGCGGCGGCAGCGGTGGCGGCAGCAGTTGCAGCCGGGGGTCGGGCCAGGCCCGGGGGCCCGCGGGGGAGCGGGCAGCAGGGCCGTGCGCCACCGCGAGCCCGCCGCCGCGCGCACGCCAGCTTCCAAGGGGGGGGGCGGCGGCGGCGGCAGCAGCAGCAGCGGCCGCCGGGGGCGGGCCCAGGCTAGGCGGCCCGCCGCGGGCGGCGGCAGCCAGGTCCGCGGCGCCACCGCCGCCAGCCGCCGCGCGCTGCGAGCCAGCCCCCAGGTGGGGGGTGCGGCGGCGGCGGCGGCAGCAGCGGCAAAAGGGGGGGCCCCCCCCCCCCGGGGGGGGTCCTCTGGACCGGCAGGCGGCCCGCCGAAGGGCGGCGGCAGCGGAGGCCAACGCGGCAGGCCCGGCGCGGCGCGGACCTGGACCCAGGGCGTGCTCGAGCCGAGACGGCTTGAGCCAGGTTACGGAGTGGTGGGAATACGCGGAGCGTCAAGAATTTGAGGCCGAAGTCGAATCTCAATCTGCGATAAGGCGTCACTCTGCTGGATCCCCCCGCAACCTCCGGAAGTGACGACGGCTGCGCAGTTCGCAGCCCCCCAGGGATGGCGAGGTCGAATATGAATCTGCCGAAGGCGGTATTCCGCTGAACCTCCCAGCAACCCTTGAAAGCGGCGACAGTTTCGCAGTTCGCAGCGCCCATTGGATGGCGAGATCGAGCCTGAGTATGCGTAAGACGTCATTCCGCTGGCCCCCCCAGCAGCCATCGAAAGTGACAACAGTTTCGCGGTTCGCAGCTCCCCCCCGCCCCAAAGATGGCGAGATCAAATATGAGTCTGCGCAAGACGTCACTCCGCTGGACCCCCAGCAGCATGCGAAAGTGTTAACAGTTTAGCGGTTCGCAGCCCCCACACAGATTGCGAGGTCGAATCCGTCCGAGTTTGCGGTAAGACGTCACTCCGCCAGACCCCCCAGCAGCCCTCGAAAGTGGCGGCAGTGTCGCAGCCCTCAGCAGACCCAAGGATGGTGAGATCGCATCTAAGTCTGCGGAAGGCGCCTCTTCGCTGACCCCCCAGCAGCCCTCGAACGTGGCGACACCTTCGTTCTTCCCCCCCTCCCCACGTATTATGGCGAGGTCTGATCTGAACATGTCCAAGACGTCGCTCCGATGGGTTCCTCAGCAGCCAAAGAAAGTGGCGACAGCTTCGCAATTCGCCCCCCCCCCCCCGTGAATTGGTGTAAGGCGTCACTCCGCTGGACCCCACCCAGCAACCCTCGAAAGCGGCGACAGCTTCGCAGCTCGCAGCCCACGTCTCCCCCCAGGACGGCAAAGTCCAATACCAGTCTCGCAGTTGGCAACCCACCAGGGATGACGAGGTAGAATATGAGTATGCGCAAGGCGCCACCCCGCTGACCCCCCCGCGGCCCTCCACACAGTTTCTCAGTTCGCAGGCAGGCCCATGGATGGCGAGGTCGCATCGGAATCTGCGTACGACGTCCCCCACTGCACCTCCCAGCAGCCATCGAACGCGGCGACAGTTTCGCAATCTGCGCCCCCCACCCCACCAGGGATGGCGAGGTCGAATCTAGGTTTGCGTAAAGCGTCACTCTGATTGACCCCCCACGCCCAGCAGCATTCGAAACTGGGATAATTTCTCAGTTCGCAGCCCCCCAGGGATGGCGAGGTCGAATCCAAGTCTGCGTAAGGCGTCACTCCGCTGAACTTCCCAGCAGTCATCAAGTGGCGACGGCTTGGCAGTTCGCAGCCACCTCAGGGCTGGCGAGGTCGAATCTGGATCTGCGTAAGGCGACACCCCACTGGACCCCCAGGCAACCCTCGGTAGTAACGACTGTTTCGCAGTTCGCAGCTCCAGGGAGGGCGAGGTTGGTCTGCGTACGACGTCGCCCCGCTAGACCCCCCAGCAGCCCCGAAAGGCGTCGACAGCTTCGCAATTCGCAGCCCACCAGGGATGGCGAAGTCGAATCCCACCAGCCCTCTGGGCGTAGGTGGTTCAACGAGGTTCGTCTTCTCTCTGTCAACATCCCTCCTTCCCTTTCCCGGGGGAGGGGGCTATCGCTGTTCCCTATTCGCCGGCCCAACGGGCCAGGGCGTGCTAAGATCTCCGGTAACTGGTCAACAGTATTAACAGTATTTCTAGTTCGCGCGCGCGGGGCGGCCCCTGGGGGTCCCCCGGCGAAAAGTACCCCGACCAACGCCCGGTCGCCGCCCGGTCGCCGCCCGACCGCCGCCCGACCGCCGCCCGACCACGTCTACTCAGAGATGGTTTTCCTTCTGGGTGCGGCCTCTCAGGCTCCCCAGAGCGCGCTCAGAGTGCCCCAAGAGGCCCCCAAGACTGCCCAAGAGGCCCCCGAGACGCCCAAAGAGCGCTCGAAGACGCCGAAGATGACCCCAAGACGGCCCAAAAGGCCCCCAAGACAGCCCAAGAGGCCTCCAAGACGCCCCAAGAGCCTTCCAATAGGCCTCCGAAGAGAGCCCCAAGAGGCCAAAATCGTTGATTTTCATTGGTTTTTTCTATGTTTTTTGTGTTCTGGCTTTTTCGGCTTCCGGACGCTCCAAGACGGCCCAAGAGGCCCCCAAGACCGCTCCAAGACGGCCCACGAGGCTCCCAAGACGGCCCCGGAACGGCCCAGGAGGGCCCCCAAGACGGCCCAAGTGCCGCCCATGACGGACCAAGAGGCCCCAAGACGGGCCCAAGAGGGGCTGAAGAGGGGAACCGAGAACTGAAAAATCGAGCCCTCCGCCCCAGAAGGCGCCCAGGAGGCCCCAAAAAGGCCCCAAGAGGCCCCCAAGAGGCCCCCAAGACGCCCCAAGAGGCGCCCAAGAGGCCCAAAAGAGGCCCCAAGAGGCCCCAAAACGGCCCCCAAACCTCGGCTAGCCCACAACGGTGCGACAATATGGGCCGGCGGAAATGGGAGCGAGCGGCGACAATAAATATACACTCCCTCCCCAATGCGGCCGGACGGCAAACCAGGAACATGAAGGCGCTCTCGCCCTTACCATCCTATTCTCGTTTCATTCTCCCGGCAAAGCAACCTAACAGCGATGTGTAGGAGCATATCTGGAAGCATTCCCCTTAAGATTCAGATGAGAATCCAGTTGTAGAATTCTGCTGTTCTCGCAGTCGTAGTCGCATTCGCGATGACAGCCGCAGTGAGAACGGCAGTCGCAGTCACAGCCTCAGTCCCAGCCTGCCTCAGCCTCAGCCTCAGCCTGCCTCAGCCTCAGCCTCAGCCTCAGCCTGCCTCAGCCTCAGCCTCAGCCTGCTTCAGCCTCAGCCTCAGTCTGCCTTCAGCCTGAGCCTCAGCCTCAGCCTGCCGCAGCCTCCCCTGCATCAGCCTCAGCCTCAGCCTCAGCCTGCCTCAGCATCAGCCTGCCTCAGCCTCAGCCTCAGCCTGCCTCAGCCTCAGCCTCAGCCTGCTTCAGCCTCAGCCTCAGTCTGCCTTCAGCCTCGGCCTCAGCCTCAGCCTGCCTCAGCCTCAGCCTGCATCAGCCTCAGCCTCAGCCTCAGCCTGCCTCAGCATCAGCCTGCCTCAGCCTCAGCCTCAGCCTGCCTCAGCCTCAGCCTCAGCCTGCTTCAGCCTCAGCCTCAGTCTGCCTTCAGCCTCGGCCTCAGCCTCAGCCTGCCTCAGCCTCAGCCTGCATCAGCCTCAGCCTCAGCCTCAGCCTGCCTCAGCATCAGCATGCTTCAGCCTCAGCCTCCTCAGCCTCAGCCTGCTTCAGCCTCAGCCTCAGTCTGCCTTCAGCCTCGGCCTCAGCCTCAGCCTGCCTCAGCCTCAGCCTGCCTGAGCCTCAGCCTCAGCCTGCCTCAGCATTCAAAATGTGGCCCGGGAATGGAATTCTGGGAACTCGAAGATCACGAAGTGGCCTGCAGTTGGCTCCGGGCATTCAAAATCATGCCCAGGAATGGAGTTCTGGGAACTCGAAGACCACGAAGTGGCCTACAGTTGGCTCCGGGCATTCAAAATCATGCCCAGGAATGGAGTTCTGGGAACTCGAAGACCACGAAGTGGCCTACAGTTGGCTCCGGGCATTCAAAATCATGCCCAGGAATGGAGTTCTGGGAACTCGAAGACCACGAAGTGGCCTACAGTTGGCTCCGGGCATTCAAAATCATGCCCAGGAATGGAGTTCTGGGAACTCGAAGACCACGAAGTGGCCTACAGTTGGCTCCGGGCATTCAAAATCATGCCCAGGAATGGACTTCTGGGAACTCGAAGACAACGAAGTTGCTTACAGTGGGCTCCGGGCATTCAAAGTGTGGCCCGGGAATGGAGCTCTGGGAACTCGAAGACCACGAAGTGGCCTACAGTTGGCTCCGGGCATTCAAAATCATGCCCAGGAATGGACTTCTGGGAACTCGAAGACCACGAAGTGTGCAACTATTTGTTTAAAAACGACTTCCGCGGATCCCTGTCCGGATGCCGCCCAGACCCCCCTGGGGAGTCATGATGCTCTCTTTTGACCCTATTAGAAACCTATCAGTCTTCGCTGTTAGGTAACTAGCGATAATAATAATAATGATAATAATAATATTAATAAGACTACTAATAATAATAACACTAATAATAACACGAATAATACTAATAATACTATTACTAATACTAATACTACTAATACTACTAATAATACTACTAAAAATCACAATGATAATAATGATAATATCAATAATAGTAATAATAATGATACTAATAATACTACTACTAATAATAATACGAATAATAATAATAATAATAATAATAGTAATAAAATTAATGATAATAATAAGAATAAGAATAAGAATAAGAATAATAATAGTGATGCGGATGACAATAATGGCAACAATACTGATAAGAATAATGGCAATAGCAAAAAGAAAAAGAAGAAGGGAGGCAGGATGTAGCGTTGCGGAGGGATCAGCGAGGAGACATAGAGGATGGAGGCAGGAGCAGCGAGCAGGGAGGGAGAAGGAGGGGGGGAAAGGGACACAGGCAGGGAAGGCCGGCCCAGGCCGCGACGGCTGCGGGCGGCGCGGGCCAGCGGGCTTAGCGGGGCCTCTCGCGGGAGCCGACCGGGCGCCCCTGGCTGCGAGGCGGGGATTTTTGCATATCCACCGCCTGGGAACCGACGTCATGGTGCCCCGGCGGGCGGTGGATCTGGACGTACTCTGGGATTCGGACTTATCCATGTCCACCATCTGTGGAGGTCCGCGTAGATCGATCCCACATGCGGTGGTTATGGATAAAATCCCCGCCTCGGACTGGCCCGTCCGCCCGGAGGTCCGAGCGCCGTGCCCAGGGAGGCTCGCCCGCGGTGGCATCACTCTGCGCCAGCTGGCCAGCGCGTGCCGCCGCGGAGCACCGAAGCCTTCTCGCCGAGCAGCCGGCCGCCGCCGAGCGCCTGCGAGAGGCCTGCCACGCTCTGGGTCGGTCAAGTCTAAGCCCTCCTCCTCCTGCTCCTCCTCCTCCTCCGCCTCCTGCTCCTCCACAACCTTCTTCGTGTTGCATCGGCCCCACGGACCTCTCCTTGAACGCGTTGTGGCCAGATTTTCGAAGGGAGCTCAGCCGCGGCGACGAGGAACCTCCTGCCAGCCCCCTACAGGGAAGCAGAGATCTCGAACTCCGTGCCTTGAGGGACCCTGGTGGCCTCACTCCGCGCTAGTAGCCTGGGTAGTAGGGCTGCTGGACGTTCCCGCCGACCAGGCAGTTGCAGCAGCCGCAGCCCGGCGTCCTGCCGGCGGGCAGTGACGCGTCCCAGACGAGGCAGCAGCACTTCTGAGTGTGCGCGATCTGCTCCTGGCCAAGGGGGAGAGAGGGAGGGGATGCATCAGCGATGCTGCAACACACCCTCCCGGCCCAAACCCCCTCTTCACAAGTCCCTGCATACATATATGTATATATATATATATGTGTATATATAAAATACACACACGTATCCCTTCCCACTCTGGAGAAGGCGTCCCCGTTGGAATGACGAGGGCCCGGTGGGCCTGCCAGTCAGTCGAGAGAAAGTTGTGTAAGGGATTTGCCCTCCATCCTTCTAGCCAACAGAAGCACCAACATCTTGGATGGTATAGTGTAAGGAAGTGCCCCACGATACCCATATGTTGACAAACATCCGCCCTCCGTCCTTGCAGCTATGGTACAAGTTCCAAGCTATGGTCATGAAATGCACGGAAGTCTGGAAAAAGCGGGCCCTCATTTTGAAAATCAGCCGCCCTTCATCGATGTAGTTGTTGCACAGGTTGGATCTTCGCGCCGTTACAGATGAAGGAGTCACACGAGCCCCATGTCGAAAAATCATCGACATCCAGCCTCGTAGCTGTTGCACAACTCGGAACTCTGCGTCATACCATTTGAGGACGACTCAAGATGCGATGCGACCACCGTTGCGGACAGCGTCCGGGCCTACTCAAGACTGGGTGGGTGAGGCCGTGGCCTCGGGAATCTGGCGTGTCTGGACATCATGCAGTGCGGGACAAATGCGCAAAAAATAGGAGGAGGGACGCAGGGACGCAGGGAGGATGGTCCTTGGGGGGTCGGTCGTGTCAGCCTGTGTGGGAAGAAAGGAAGGGGGGAGGAAGAGCAGGAAGTCCTTGATGTCGGTGTCGACGTGGGATGTCTCGCTGGGCGTTCGCGTTATTGGTTTCGATTATGGGTGTCTTCTGGTGTGAGGTCGACGTAGTGGTGCTCGAGCACCGTCCATGTTTCGGTGTCCTGTGCTGTTTGAATCCATGTGATGTCGTTTGGTTTTTCTGTCGCGCATGTATGTGCGGTCGGTCGGTGAAGGTCTGGTCGGCGTTGGCGTAGACAAATGTTGATTTCGTCGTCCCAACGTTTGTGTTGACGACCGTGCTGCCTGTCCTCGCTGCCGTGGGTTGAGGTCTGGTCGCCATTGCAACACTTGCTGTGTCCAACGTGTTTGGGTGTGGTTTGCGACTCTTGAAGCCATTCGCCATACTTTTCGCTTGTGAACCGTCTCCCAGTTGTCGATGCGGAGGAGCTTCATGAGGTGTTCTGCACGTCCTATCGCTCGCGGCATGTACTCTACCCAGGGTTCCTCCAGGTCTGTTGTAGTGCTGACTTCGCCGTCGTCGCTGTGCACGTCATGTGTGGCAGGTGTGTCGCGCTGGGGTGGGTTGCTGTCTGCGTCGTCGCTAGTGCTGTTGTTGCAGTGGTCGTTTTTTCGTGCGTCGTTGTCTGGTGCTTTGTTGTCTGGTGCTTCGTTGTCTAGTGGTCGCTGGCTGCTGTGAGGGTCAGTTTGTGTTGTCGTGCGTCGTCTCGGCGTTCACATTTTGAAAACCCAGTAGCCTACACACCTGTAACTGTTGCAAGCTTGTCGAACGAATGCGTGCGGCGCTAAAGCGAGCAGCCACATTTTGGAAACTACCAGTCCTCCATCCTTGCAACCGCTGCATGATTTCAAAGCGAATGCGCCCGGCGCTGAGGCGAGAGCCCAATTTTGGAAAACGACGGGCCCTCCGTCTCTACAACTGCTGTAATACTCTATGACGAACGTGCGCGGCGCTGAGGCGAGAGCCCCATCTTAAAAACGACCGAGCCTCCATCCGTGGAACTGGTGGAGTTCTTGCAGGCTCGGGGCAATACAGAGCAAAGGAGTCTCAAGCGAAATGCCCGGCCCAGCCTGCAGACAAGCCTGGTGGCGCGACAGGGGGAGTTGTTGTGAGGAACGGGACGGAGGAAGAGGCGGAGGAGGAGGAGAGGGGGGAAGGAGGATGATAAGGAGGACGAACATGAGGATGAGGAGGACCGGCAACCCGCAGGAGGAGGGCCAGCAGGAGGGGAGGAAGGAGGGGGAGGAGGAGGAGCAGGCGGAGGAGTAGGCGCCGCCGCAGCACGAGGAGCACACTGCTCTCCTCGTAGGAGTCATCGGTCTCCAGGTTTGCCCAGAAGCAGCAGAGCTTCCCCTCCAACTTGCAGCAGGTATCGTTGCCCCCAGGCGGATTGCAGCCGAGGCCGCAGCAGTAGAGGAAGAAGCACCAGCAGGTGCCCATGAGTATCTGGAACTCCTCGCGCTCGTTGGGGTCTTCCAGCCCTCTGGGCATCTCGAGGATGTTGGGCGGGGGCATGTTTCTGCAGCAGAAGCAGCCCGACCAGGGATACCCACACCCGAAGCCCGGCGTCATGCTCGGCGGCGCCTCGGAATGCCAGACGCAGCAGCAGATCTTCACGGTGCTCGCCACGATGCCGTCGTTGTCCCAGCACGCGGCGTCCCTGCAGGTGCCAGCGCAGCAGCAGCACTGGCCGATGTTAAGGCACCAGCCATCCCGAGAAGGGCTGAGACAGCCCAGGCCGCAGCACCACGCGTAGGCGAGCCAGAACGTGTCCTGACCAGCTTTTGCAGATTGAACCCATACAGGCGTCGTTATTTGTTGCCTCTGCGGGCGTATATCTCTGCTTGAAGACTCTGTGATCAGCGCCAGAAGCCATAGGAGCCCCAGAATCGACTTCTGTTGGAGGGCCTTGGCCTTGCGTTCTCTAACATCGCGAACTTCCGCAAGAGGAGCCGCCCTCCTTTTCTTTCGACCGGCTTCCACCGAGGACGAGGGATCAGACCCTCTGACTATTCGAAGGCGGCGCCTCCTCTGGAGCTCCCTGCGTGCCAGTAGGACACGCGCGCAGGAACACCTGCTGGGCGCCGGCGGCGCCCATAAAGGCCAAGGCGGGAGCACGAAGGCCTGGAGCCCCCATCTGCCGACGGCCATGGCAGCCCAACCGTGGTGGACCTCAACCGACGCTTCGGCCAGCGCCCACGTAGCTGACCTCGGAAACCCTGAACCCAGAAACGTTTTCGTCTCTTGGGGGCGCTCCTTCTGCTTCCGCC